CCTATAGGACAGAGTAGTACTGCCCTATAGAATTTCCAAGGCTGTAATCTTTACAGAAGCAGACTGCTACATTTTTCTCCCTCTGAGCAGCTGGTGGGTTTGAACTGTCAAACATGTGGTTCACAGCTGAGTGCTTTAACCACCACAACATCAGGATTCCTTAAGGTACATCCAGTTCCACCAAAACACATTTTTTTTTCCTACAGATGTAGGCTACACAGATCAGAGGTCATCCTTCACTCATGCTGTTAGAAACAATCACAAAAAGAATATGAATTCAGGATAGACTACAAGCTTCCTAACAGTGTCCTGTTGCAGCCATATATCTATCGTAATGGCTCAGCAAAGGAAGCTGAGGCCCTGAGTAGACTCTGAGCACTGGATCTGAACCCAAAAGCAGGTTCTCATCCTGGCCCTGAAGATCTAGGAGTGAAGCCTTTACCAAGTAGCTTTACCTCTCTGAGCCTCAGTTTCTCCATTGGAATGGGGAATTTTGGTACCATCCCAATAGGTTTTTTTTTTTTTTTTTTTTACCCACAACCCCCCCCACACACACACACACATCCTGCCAAAGAATTAAATAGGAATTTACCTGTACATGGTGTTTGTAAAATCCTGTTAAACATGAATCTTTAGTAAAAGGTAACAGAAGCAACCTTCAGGTTTTATGATGTTTCTTCTGTCATTATACATAAAAGTTTCCTTTAATTCAAGCCATTAAAAGACTCATGCTAATTTCTTCCTTCTTTGTGACCTATCCCCTATCCCACCACAGCCTGAAATCTCTTGGGGCCTTTAAAGCAGCAAGCTATGAATTAATTGTGGAAAAATGAGTCAATCAACCCCAGCTGAGATGAATGGCGTGCCTTGAACCAGCAGTATCACGGAAGAGCTTGGCAGAAATAAAGCATCTTTTCCCGCCCCCAGGCTCACTGAAGCAGACTCTGCTTGTTGGTAATATCCCAAGTAATTCCTTTGCACACTGCAGCTGGACACATGCTTGAGGAAGAGACCTCTGTTTGGGGAGCCAAGCTCAATGCTCTAAAGGGACTTGTGTGATAAAGACATCAATCTTGATTTGGGCTACTCTCAGCCTATGGGTGTTCACTAATCCTTTCACTAACCTTTCCTTACTTTTCTAATGCTCTTGTCATTAGCTGCTAGTGAGTTGTCCCCCAACTCATGGTAACACATGCACTGCCCAGGTTCACACAATCCTTACAATTGTTTTCAGACTGGATCTTTGTGATTCATAGGATTTTCATTGGAAGTAGATCACCAGGCCTTTCTTCCTAGTCTGGCATGGTTGGAAGCTCCACTGAAACCTGTTCAGTATCACCATTCTCCACTGACAGATGGTGGTAGCTGCACTTGAGGCACACGGTTGTTGTTGTTATGTGTCGTCAAGTCGGCCCCGACTCATAGCGACCCCTCCTTGGGTTTCTGAGGCAGTATCACTATGGAAGTAGATTGCCCAACCTCTCTTCCAAGGAGTGGCTGGTGGATTTGAACCGCCAGCCTTCTGGTTAGCGGCCAAGTGTCTTAGGCACTATGCTATCAGAGCTCCAGGAACCAAACCCGAGTGTCCCCTGTGGAAGGCGAGAATTCTACCACTGAACCATCAAGGCCTCACTGCTTTTCTCACAGAGTCTCACAGACTGTGAAACTTCAGAATGCCAGATGTGACACCATTACCCAGGGAATAGATTCTTTACAGGAAATCCTTAAATCTGTGGTTCCTGCTGAACAATGGCCACTGTCCAAGCACTCACAGGCACATAACGGAGCATGAGGAGGCAGGTGCTAAGGTGTGGTGGTATGCAGACACACAACCAGTATGCTCATAGTCTTTAAGCTTCTACTCTGGTCTTCTTTGGTCATGTTTTCAGAAGGGACTATTCCCTGCAGAAGGATATCACACTTGGTAAAGTGGCCAGGCAGCTAGAAAGGGAAAGACCCTCAACAAGATGGATTGACACAGTGACGGCAACGATGGGCTCAAGTATAGCAAGGACTGTGAGGATGACACATGACCAGGCAGTGTTTCGTTCTTTTGTACATAGGGTCGATATGAGTCAGAGCCAACTCGGCAGCACCTAACAACAACAACTAGGGAATGGAGATCCAGGGCAGGGACTTGGAAAGGCCCCCAGAGAGAATCTTTTCAACTCTATCAAATCAAATAAAAGCATTCCTTCCAAAATGTAGTAGGGGGCAGGTGCTGAGAAGCACAGGCAGATGAAGCCAGGAACAAAAGCATCCCTGCCAACAAAGGCACATGGATCAAGTGAGTGACTCTGAATGGGACTGGACCCCGTCTCAGAAGTGTCAAGACTTAGCCCCAGGACACTAAACAGCAGGGAATGTCCTAATTATCATCTGGAAAAGTCTGGGTGAGACAAATGCAATTTGCTTATGTTCAATATATCTGTATTTAGGCTGTTATACAAGTTTGCACTCTCTCCAATTCTACCCAGCAATCTTTTCCACCTTGGATCTTGAAGTTGATAAAATCTGCTTTTGAAACAAAAGATGTAACTAAAAGTCTATGCATTGAATTTCACGGACTTTCAGGAAAGTAGTTCTGGCTTTTATTTTGTATTCATTTACTCTTATCCTGTACACAATGTTAACCATCTATGAGATCTAATTTCTCAGTCCATAGATGAATACTGAATACAGGTAGTCCCCTATTTATGACTTATTCAAATGACAAAGAACCACACTTACAACCATCTGTTATTTTTCAATATATCTTCTCATTGTTATTTTTGTTGTTATGTGCCATAGAGTCGGACCTGACTCATAGTGACCCCTCCTTGGGTTTCCAAGGTGGTATCACTACAGAAGTAGATTGCCCAACCTTCCGTCTGAGGAGTGGCTGGTGGGTTTGAACGGCCATCCTTCTGGTTAGCAATCAAGTGTCTTAGGCACTACACTACCAGAACTCCTATCTTCTCATTAGTGATATGTATTATATACAATATAATTTGCTGACGTTATCATGTAATTTGCTGATGCTGTCAGTGTTAGATGTTCACTCACAGGTGTTCAAAGATTGGATTTATAAAAATACTGGTAATAAAAGGCAAAAATAATGAAAACACACACACACACACACACACACACGAAAGTATATGACTGACATCAGGATTGACTTACAACAGAGTCATTAAAAGGAGCCCTGTCATAAGTAAGTTGAGGATTACCTGTATAAGCAACAACTTAGAAACGGGCCAGGAGAGGCTGCTGGAGAGGTTGTGGTAATGAATTAGTGATAGCAGCAATTATAGCATAAGTAATGTCAAGAAATAAAAAAAGAAAAAAACACCAAAAACCAAACCCACTGCCATCAAGTTGACTCTAACTCGTAGTAATTCTATAGGACAGAGTAGAACTGCACCAAAGTTTCCAAGGCTGTAAATCTTTACAGAAGCAGACTGTCTCATCTTTCTCCCTCAGAGTGTCTGTTGGGTTGGAACTGCTGAACTTTTGATTAGCAGCCAAATGCTTTAACCACTATGCAACAAGACACCCTCAAAGTAAAAAAGTGCCTAATAACACGTGGCCAGCAAAACAAACAAACAAAAAAGAACTAATAAAGTCATTTAAAACTATTTTTTTTAATTGTCTTCAAGTTGATTCTGACTCATGGCAACTCCATGTGTGTCACAGTAGAACTCTGTTCCAAAAGGTTTTCAGTGGCTGATTTTTTCAGATTGCCACGCCTTTCTTCCAGCCAAAAGGAAAGCACCATTAAACATTCAGAATCCCTCCCCCTTTCGTAGTCTCATGAGAAATAAACAATATCCAACTGTCTTAACAACCTCCTCCAAATGAGAAAAAGACTTAGAGTGAGAACAGAGAACTTACCCTCCTCACCACGCCCAAAGCAAAGTGTTAGGAGATTTGGACAAATTGCATAAATGTAGATTCCCTAAGGGCCTTAGATGTGCTCCACTGCAAAGAACTAAGAGAATGTGGACAACCTGGATCTGCTGTGGCGCACTCAGTCTCCTTTCTGTCTTAAGTCAGACGGAGAAGTAGCTTCCTCCAGCAGAAGCTAAAACCAAACCAAACTCACTGCCATCGAGTCTATTCCGACGCACAGTGACCCCCTTTGGGTCTCGCAGGTAGTAAATCTTTACAGAGGAGGATTGCCCCTGCCATGGAGTGGCTGGTGGGTTTGAAAAGCCAACTTTCTGGTTAGCAGTCAAATGCCTTCAGCACTGCTCAGCAGAAGCAGCAGCAATAAAAGATCCAGTCAGCGGGGACCCTTCCCTTGCAGGTGAGGGCTAGATGGAGGCAGATCTTGGTGTCTGTCTGTCTGTCACCTGCCCACGCACACACCTTACCCTATATCGTACTAAAAACACAAACACTTAGATTCACAGTGGGGGAATCACATCTGGGAGTGCCTGAAGGAACAAGGAAAACGGAGGCCCAGAGAAGGAAAGGCCCTTCTCCAAAATGATAGCTCCTCCTAGTTGTGTATGTTGGGGGAGGAGGGTACAGGAAACAGCTTAAGTAAGACAAAAGGATTTTGTTGGCTCCTTAGGTAATTAACAACTTGGAATGTTTAGTTGCTTTCTCCCTGGAAAATTTACATCAGAATTGTTGTTTTTTGCCAAGGTGATTTTCTTACCTCTCTCCCCAGCAAGGTTTATTTTGGCAAAGGAAGGGAGGGAAGGAGCAGAGGGAAGAAAAGAGGGGAAAATAAAGAAACGAAGGAAGGATGGGAGGGAGGGAAAAGGGAAAGAAAGAAAGAGAAGAAGGACAAAAAGGTGAAAGGAAGGAAAGAAAGAAAGAAAAAGAGAAGAAAGGGAGTAAAGGAAGAAGCGAGGCAAGGGGGAGGAAAGAGAGAGGTACCAATGAAAGTCAATACAATTCAATTTTTGTTCTTTGAAAAATGTTACGTTAGGAGGCAGTGTCATCTCAAAGTCCTAGCAGGTCCCCTACCCCCATTCATCCTGAAGACAGCCCCCCCTCCCCCCACTTACCTTCGCTGAAGACAAAATCCGAAATGATGTCAAAGGGCTGGATGTGGACTGCAGACAGGATCATGGTGACTGTCTTCTGTGGATCGCTAGAGGCCAGTGAAATGGTCTGCTGAGCTTGGCACTCATAGGATCTTCCAGCTGGGGTGACCAAGGCAGAGAGGTGGTGCGAGTTGGCTGTGTGCTTCCCAGCTGTAGTGAAGGCCAAATCCATGGTTAGGCCCCTGGTGCCAGCAGTAGTCTAGTTGCTCCTCACACCTTGTGTCAGGGGGTGGCTCTTGTCCCTCCACTCTAGACCTGACTCACTCCTATCATCTGTGCTGCCTTGCTCAGCTTAGGGATCAGCAAACCCAGAGTAGGGGTGAAGGAAAATATTCCATTTCTTTCCTGAACAGGGACTTTTCATATGTGAAATCTGAACTTCTTTTTAGAAGTAGAGAGAAAAAAAAACCACTGCCATCAAGTTGACTCCGACTCCTAGCGACCCCCATTGGGTTTTCAAGGCAGTAAATCTTTACCAAAGCAGATTGCAAAGTCTTACTTCTGTGGAGTGGCTGGTGGGTTTGAACCACCAACCTTCTGGTTAGCAGTCAGATGCCTTAGGCACTGTGGTACCAGAGCTCCTTCTTTTTCAGAGACCAGTGGTACCTAAAAACCCAACCTTTTTTTACTGCGTAAAACCTAACAGTGGAGACCCCAAGGACACAGAAAGAACAATGACTATGTTTGCTACATTTTTTGCTGGCTCTGCAATGAAGACGATCTTTTTTTCTTAACAAAGCAGGGCTGCTGCTTGGGCACCGGATAATGCTCTGGCACGTGGTACAACCTTTCTGGATATGGTTGCTATGAGCCAGAATTGGCCACGGCACAACAGCAGCTTTGGTCCCCCCTTTTCTGGCTTAAGTTTAGCTTCTTTATTTTCTAACTTAAATGATGACGTGCTTAAATATGGATTTTGATGAAGAAAAGAAAATGTTCTTTTTTCTGTGATGAGAAAAAGGGATCAACAAGGACGACATGATATGTATATTGTAAAAAATCGCTCAATACAATGGCAGTGATGGTTGCACAACACTGTGAATGTGATGAATGTCACTGGATTACATACTTGAAAATGGTTAAAATGGCAAGTTTCATGCGTGTATTTCACCATACACACACAAGTGTTCAAAGAAAGTCTTCTCGCAACTCAGATTTCTGGGTAGTCAAGGGCCTCTTCGGTATGGATTAGACAATTTATAAAGAAAATAAGTAAATTTAAATGTGATCTTAGAGTGGCTGGAGGCAGGAAATGAGCATCGTTAGTGGAAGTACGGATGCTCCTCTGGACACAATATGTTCGGAGGATGTGGGTGGTTGTTGGGAGTGATGGGCAGGAAAGTGCAATAAATTCAGAAACGAGGCAGAATCCTCTCGAATGCGATGCCTGAGATCGGGTATGAGGCAAGCCATGCGCCATAACCATCACATCCTGGATCTGCAAGGAAAGTGGCATGGTCGCCTCGCAGTTCCAGTTTCAGCAAGTGAGAAGAAAACCCCGGGGTGCAGAAGACAATACAAACACACAGCTTTGCCCTTCTCTCTGATCCTTTAAAGGGGAAATCTTAAGTAGCCTTCCTGAAGCAGCCAGGGGACGCCAGGCCCTCGAGTAACTCCTCTTCCTTGGTCAAGAGTTGGGGTGGTCCTCCGGCCCCCCGGGCCCTGGGGATTTATCGTTCAGGTCTAAGATTAAAGGGTGCACACACGCTCCTACCTCTTCCTCCACCGAAGGCAAACCAGGGCCTGACTTGGCCTGGGGGCGCACATCTAGGAAGGGTTTCCAAAACAAAATCCTGCAGGAATTCGGCCTCCACGGCTGCGCTCCCTGCTGTGCCCGCTTTCTCCCAAGATCCCTCCTCACCCCAGCCTGCCTCTACTCACGACTAACTGGATCTTTAAAATGGGTCTTCTCTGAAGAGTCATAGATGAATTGCACCTTGCTCAGCCTCCACGTCGCCTCGGGCCCCTTGGAAGTGTTGTGACTTTCCTATCGAGCAGACGAGGCGCGCGTCAGTCTCCCCCGTGCCTTCTCAGCCCTGAAACCGAGTGGCGGCCACTGCCCACACCCACTCCGAGTCTGCTCCCCTTCCGCACCCGGCGCCCGGGAGTTACCTTCACGAAGAGCATTTTGAGCGCGTACGCACGATCCACCCAGAACACCTGCAGCTCCGACTCGTTGTGGCCACAGTGGCCCTTCACTTCAGCTCCCCGGGTCAACGCGATGTCAGCCTGTTCCGTGATCAGCTGGGAACACAGACGCCCCGCACCCCCTCAGCGCGCCAGCCCCCCCCCCCCCAGGCTGGAAAGGGAGGCACAACCAAACTCCAGGCTGCATGGTTGGGTACTCCTTTGCGCGCGCGCGCGCTCCCAGGTCCGGGAACATGCAGTTAGAGGCTCTACGTGCAGACGGGGGCGTTAGGGAAGCAAAGAGAATGGATTTACTTTCAAAGCAGGCAGAACGAGCAGGTGTGACAAGCTGGAAGCCCCATGCAGCATTCTGGAGCAGCCTGCAGGGGCGCGGGAGAGGGCAAAGGCAGGTGGCCCGTCTTCGCGGGGCCTTGAAGGAGGATGCCCTTCGCCCCTGGTGCCCTAGGACCAAGCTGAGGGAAAAAGATTCCTTACATCTACATAATTGCTGGCCCACACATCATAAGGTACAATAAATTTAGCTGCAAACTCTGCCATGAGACACGTTGTCCCATTTTCCCGCACCACAAATATATCTTTTTCAGGGTTAGTGGAAAGGCCTGAGAGATTTTCCACTTCTTGTTCTGCCATGATTTGAGCCACTGTATCTGCGGAAGAAGCAAACAAACATCCTGTCAGCGAACCCAAGCGCTAGAGAACAGGGGTGGTGCTCTGCGGCCATTGGGGTTACAAAGTTCCCCGCCGACTGCTCGGCGCTCTGAGAGCCATTTCTGTAGCCTGGCGCCAATAAATTCGACTCTGTTGCTATTAATTTATAATGGAAACAAAGATTTAAAAGTGCAAAAGCCACGCTCATTTGTAAACCAGCGGGTCTTTTTCTACATCTTTGACTTTTACACCAATTTTTCCTTGCCAAAACTCCGACCCCACGGCCTGGCGCCCTGTGTGGGATATGCCATACAGGTGTGTGGCTCAAGGAACTCCCAAACACTGGGGGGGGAGAGACTCTGCACTCGCTCCCCACGCCCAGTCAACACACCAGAACTACATATTGATCCTAAGCTACCAGCTTTAATATGCCTCTTCTATTCTCTGCAAAGAGGACACCCCGCCCTTCCGGTCGCAGAAACACCACTCACGGAACAGCATCAGGAGAACTCTAAGTCTGTGGCCGCTGGGAACAGCTCTTGTTCGGAGATCCATGCTCGCGGTGCAGCGAAAGAAACCAGAAGTGGTGCGCCAGAGGCCGTCGGAGAGGGAATCCCTCAAAGTCGCCGCCGGAGCGGGCCGGGGTGAGAGAGGGGCGGGGGCAGAGAGGGAGGTGGGAGGGAGCGGTGCGCGCTGGCGAAGACTCGGTGTTGGGTGCTGCACCGACCGACGCAGGCTGAGCACGAGTCAGCTCACTGCAGAGGGATAAAACTGCGCGGTGAATGGAGCTGTCCACGGCCGCGTGTGCTGAAAGAAACACTGTTATGTTGCAGGAATGGTTATGGCTTGGTTTGTGTTAAGAACTAATGAGATTTTTAAAAGGCTAAAATTCTCCTTGGGTCTACTTCCTGTTCTGCAGTTGCATCCGCAAAGATGAGTCTGCCCCGAGAAACTTAATAGCACCCTCAGACTTATTCACTGTCCCTGAAACGTACACAGTTATTATGTGGTGTAGACATCACACCACTGGAGTCCTGTCTTCTGAGAAAGCATCTATCTGATTCCTGAAAGACCACGGTAGAGCACAAATTGTTGCTGCTCTGGGGAACGAAGGGTAGGCAGGAATAGAGAAGGAAAATGCTATGGCAACAGTTTCCCCTGCATTTGGAGACATTTCCTTCTCTCCCCTGCTCTCACTGAGCTCCCAGGTTTAAAGTTAAATTGATACCTCCTCAAATGCAGCCATCAGACACTGCAGTATATCCAGTTAGGCTTACTATCTTGTGGGTTCTACTCTTTAATTGCACAAGTACTTTGAATTCTGAGGTCACCTACCCTCACTCATAATATTGTGACCCCTCTGCCAACAGGGATGTAAGTGAACTCGCAGTTTGTGAAGATTATCTAGGGTCTCTTAGGACAGGGATTTTTAAATGAAGGCTTAAGTAGTGTCACATAGCTATGTAAAATAGAAATGCATATCAATACCACTTTAAATTTCTAGTGGGAAGGAAAAACAAATATAACTGGGCTAATTCCTGTGTTTTCATTTTGTTTAGCTTGCTTATTTTTTTCTTTTATTATTATTACTCTATATATTAGAATATGGCTTTTTCAGCTATAAACATATTGTTGTCATCAAATGTAGGGGTGTACAAATATTTCATTTTTAAAAGGATATATCATTCATTGAATAAATAATTGTTACATCAGCAATACAATATCAGAAAACAAACAATTTCATATTAAGGAACAAATTGCCAAATATTTTCACATGCATTGTTTAATTTTATACTGCCCACAACCTTAGAAGATTAGCAGGAAGATATGCCCTATTGAGATTGTATATCTCCCAAAACTGAGCATAAAGAAAGTGAATGTCTTTCCAAAATGTCACATGGTTAGTTAGAATTAAAATAGAAAAATCACATGCTTCACCTTTATTGGATCAGTTTTATTTTCCTTATATAATAATTTGACTCCACAATATATCATATTTTAACTTCTATAAAAAATCTTTACCAAATGACCAAATAACAAGCTGAAACCTAAAATCTCTATCATTAATTCACTTTCCTAAAATATATAAAATGCTGTTTTTAAGTAGAATATTTTTTCTGTCACAATATTTGCTACAAAGCTTCTATATAAGTTTTTGTTTTCAAATCTAATCCTGTATCAATAATTAGAATAATAGCAATTCACATTAGGAAGCAATGTTTAAATTGATACTATATTTTCCACAGCTGTTCTTTTGCATCTATATTTCAAGATTTCATCTAAATATTTCCCAAAAAATTTACTTAAGTACATTATATGTCAAACAATAGAGGCAGAATTGTGATCCATATAAAGTCAATCTCATTTTAGGGTAGAAGCTGTAAAATTATACACCTTACATTTTATAATGTTACCAATTATTAGGTATTTTGTTTTCCTGTTAGTACTGTGAAAAACAGAAAACAATGAGACATATGTCATTAGACATTCTCTCTCTCTCTTTCCAGGACTTTAATGAAGAAAGAAATGGTTAGGTTTCAGTGCAGGTTTTACCATTACTTTTGTAACCTTCTGCAGGTTTTAGTTTTCTTGCCTAAAAAATTGAGGTAATAGCTCACAGAATGGCTTCTTAGGCCAAGTGAATCAAAGAATATAAAAGCATTAAAAAGATAATACAAATTAATTTATTCCACAAATATTAACTAAATACCTGAATAACTGAATACTTGTACTATGCTTGTTGCTTTGGAGACTGAAAAATAAAGCAAATACCATTATATAAGTAGGAAGAAAAGCTTGTAAAACATCATGTACAATTTCTCTTGTGATATGTTATTGCAGATGTCTCTACCTTATGAGTGTTAAAACATCAACTGAACTACTTCACAGTTACCTGTTTTAATAATAAAAGATTGCATTGCAGATACCCTTGGTCATTGGTTTATGATCTTAACTTGTTAAGTTGATTTATAAATCAGATGGTGGTTTTTCTGAAAATTGTTCCTTTCTGTACTTGATGTAAATTATCTCTTTGCTGACAACAGAGAGTACTTCAGCATGTTGAAAGACAAACTGAAAGCAATTTTAACCCTTTCTTCCTTCTTAACATATAATTAATTTAATGTCCTTTTTGGCATTCAACTTGAACAAAGTTTATTTCATGTTGGAGAAAAATATTGAATGTACCATGGACTGCCAGAAGAACAAACAAATCTGTCTTGGAAGAAATACAGCCAGAAAATGCTCCTGAGAAGGAAGATGCCCCTTAGAAACTACCTCTCTCATACTTTCGTGATGTTATTAAGAGGGACCAGTCTTTGGAGAAAGACACCAAGCTCAGATTTGTAGAAGGTCGGTGATAAAGAGGAAGACTCAGTGATGAGATGGATTGACCCAGCTGCAACAAATGGGTTCAAACACAGCAATGATTGTGAGTATGGCACAGGAGTGGGCAGTGTTTCATTCTGTTATATAGGGTCACTATGAGTGGGCACTGAGTCAACAGCATCTAACAACAACTACATTAATTTATTCATCTTATCCCTGGTGATTTTTATGTTGCAGTAAGAGCTGGGTCATTATACCTACAACTTTCATCTACATTAATTAAACAACTTTCTAATCATCCTGAAAATTTATTTCTTGTTATTTAAAATAACCAAAAAGATGATAGAGGAGCATAACTTAACACTAATATTTTAAGTCACTAACAAAGTTTTCTAGAATTTGCTCCATTCTTCAGTTTTGAAGTGGAGGAGAAGACAGAGAAATGGGTATCCACTTAGCTACTTGTGTGGATGGTGCCTGTAAATTTTCCTCATTGCTGTTGGTGGTTAGTTCAGTCTAAGATGTCAGGAGTAGGCATAACCCAAGCAGAATAGTTTTGGAATCTTTCCTAGATCCCTCAAAGTATTCTCTTCAACTCATGCATTTACTTTTTGAATTAGCCTTTTTGAGTTTTATGCCATAGGGTGTTTGGAGTTTAAAAATTAGAGGAAAAGGTCCCTAAAGATGTTGAACTTCCAGTATGGATGGGAGAAAATAACATACATGAAGATATGGGGTTGCCTAGTACAATGTGGCCACAGACATTCAAGGAAATGACAACTTGCAGTGGAACTGATGAAAGAAGGCCTCTTGTAGAAGAAGGATCTTAAAAGAGGTCGACCAATTGACTTGGGGTGGAAGAACAGGAAGGACAATGCAATGAGAAAAATACCTGTTGAGTAGGAGAGTCAATACAAATGTGTAACGCTTCATCCTTCCACGCTCATCAATTTGCCATAAAGAAGAAATTAGACCAAAAAAGAGCTATGCTTTATGTATTATATAAGCCCTATTAGATTTTTTCTTTATTTGATATTTCACCCACATCCATAATGACAAATGCCAAAGTTGTTCTTGCTAATGGTAAACTTTTCATGTTTTTATGTGGATCTCTTTACATTTGGTTGCACAAACAAATGGTTTGATTTATACAATCAAGGAACAACCTTATGAAAATCATCAAATAATGTCAATTAGAAAAATATACTTATGGTATATTTTTAAATGAAAGGGCTGGGCTTTATTGAAGCTGAAATTTCGTTTATGGACGTCCCATTCCACATCACAGTGAAATGTAAGGAGTATACTCTTGCTTTTGCTGTCCCCACCACTATAGATGTCACACAGACACCACCATTCCCCCCCACACACACACACACACAGACAGTGGCAGGACTGTGAGAACAGAAGCAGGGATAATTTACAATCTGGACAAGATACATTCAACTGTTAAGCTAGTGATTGCTCTGCACCATAACCTTTTTGTTGTGGTCAGCTTATCACTTAATAATTATTTCATTTAATTTGATCACTGCCTTAGAATATCTTTGAAACTCTATCTAGGATAGAAACGCTTTGGAATAGAAATGGAAAAACTTAGTTCCATACTATTTTTTTTTCCCATAAATTGGCAACTTTTGCATCAATTGACAAAATATCTGTGACATACCAGAAAATGGATGGCAAGGTGCTAGGATATTTGTAAAGAAACAGAAAATTGAGTTTGGGCACTCAGCCTGCATGACTTTGGTGTACTTTCCCTCCCTCTTATTTCACTGGTCTTTCCCACATCTAAACAAGGGTTGTTTCTGCAGTGAGAGTAATCAGTGGAGGACACAAGGCACCAGAATAATAGGGCTTTCATTGAGTATGTTCATAAAAGGAAATGTCCTTTTATGAATTCATTTAGAACAAATATCTTCACACATGGGGGAGAAATTGTTAAAGAACTCATTGAACAAGTGGTTGGTGCCAGGCCAGGTAAAGTTCAGTAGCAAATAAATTATTTTTGTCTTCTGAACTAGTAAATTGTTAGCCATTCTGGTCACTTTTAAGTTATATCAGGATTCATTTGTCAGGATTCACTTGTCACTGACTTCAGTTTATAACTTTTCAGTCCATGGAGTACAATCCACTCTGCTTTCTTAGCACCCAAGGGAATCATTGCTATCTGCAGGAGGGTCCTCCTTTCTGTACGAGTCATTTGAGAATATATCTTTTTAATCCTT